CATTCATTGTCTACAAGCACAAATATCAAAGCTCTCTAAGACGTATGTGTAACATTAATAAAATCAATTAAAGGCACAATATGTACGTTTTTTTATTAAAATATCCAAAAAAACACTAGAACAGTGTTATACATTTTGTTTACTTGTGTACTTAAATTAGGCCTATCCCAAATGTTTCCAAGAATGTTTAAATCTAGAGAAATAAAGAAAATTTAGAGAAATAAAAATGTAACTAGTATAACAAGACTGTCATTGCATCACCCTGCCAGTGTCATGCACCCTCGAACCCAGTTTTAAACTAAGCATGTTTCTTTGTTTTGAATATGCGCCCTCTAGCGGCAAAAATTGCATACTGTGCCTTTAAGAAAGCTTCATCAAAACATTTTTCTAATTCGTCTGAAAAACATTTTACAAGTTTAAGAAGCGCACTGGTTCATTTCTCACTTTCATTGGATATATTCTAGAGGTGCATAAAAATCAGTTGTTGACTTCAGAATGATTGACACTGGTGGGTGTATTTTACTTCATCAAACTAAACTTGTCGTCTGCTGCATATTCACTTAATCAGAAGCCTCTCCATTCATCATTACAATTGCTGATTTATTCATTGTAGAATCTGAAATACAAAGAACACGAGAGACGTTAAAAAGAAGGAAGATCTTGAGATCAATTCTGTTGAATTTACCATAAAATTACCAATGACTAAGTTCAGTAGTATTTGAGCACTTGTTCTTTTCTCACAAATGATGACATTATTATATTTGTGATCTCAGTCTCCACAACATACAAAAGCAAGTGGAAAGTTTACTTGGATGATATAGATGGATGTTCAGACTGCAGGCAAATTGTATCATATTGGAAGAGTTGATTTGCTCACCAGAGACAGTGACATTGAATTCCCAGCAAATGTTCTTTCCGCATCCACTGAGGAAGTTTAGTTGATAAACTCCAGTGTCACTGGTACTGGTGTTCTTGATGGTCAGAGATCCGGTTTGATGATGCAGCTCCAGTCTGCCTCTGAATCTCACATCACCATATGAAGTCTTACTGATGTCCCCATTCATTCCAGCTGCTAGGGTTTTATCTTGAAAGCTCCACTGTACCCGCTCACCTTTTTCTATGTTAAAGTCAGTGATTAGAATTAAAAATTCTCCCACCATCGCTGAAACTATCTTGGGACCAGACTCACCTGAAGAACAAACAAAGAAAGTTACTCGTACTAAAATAAATTTGATATTACACTGTCAAATTCAACTGAGGTATTATGTCAGTTGATATAGTCTAAAAGCACTATATTACGTTAACATGTAGTTTCCAGAATTAAATATGCTTAATTGGTCCCTGGACCCCAATTCAAAAAGCCATGTTCTATACAATGCAAATTCAGAAATAATCACACCAATAATGAAATGTAAATAGCAGTTTAATTATTATTGCAACTAACTGTTATTTTGATAAATTATTCTGATTACTATTACTGTTTTAATTTACTTGTATGTAGAATATCAAAGCTACGTTTAAGAGGGAATGATCTCCATCCACTGCATGCAGGCCAAATTAATTATTAATCAAATTCCATGGGGATTTATTACGGATTAGTTTTTGCAGCCTTAGTCATAACTAGTTATGTTTTCAATTGAATCTATTGCTGGAAGAAAACATTTTGAAGTGAAACTGAAAGACTCACAACAAATGAAAACTCTGAATTTCCTGTACGAGGTCCTTCTGCTGCTGATGATCTGTAGTTTATAAGGTCCGGTTGTGATGTTCTTGATGGTGAGAGATCCAGTGTTCTTGTCCAGCTGTAGTTTGTCTCTGAATCTCTCATCGGCATCAGCGTATGTGGTCTCTTTGGTCTCTCCAGTCAGCTGAGCAATGAGATTGTTTTCCTCTCCAAACATCCACAGGAACAGACCATCTCTCTGTGTTTCGGTATCAGGGTTTAGAGTCACATTCTTGCCCTTCACCCCTAAAATCATCTTCACTGTGACAGTTGTGACAGCAGCACAAAGACAAAGAGAAACAGAGAGAAGAAAGGTTTTCAATATATAAGTGTCTGTGCATGTGAACACAGTTTGACATTACTGCACAAAGACCATTCATGTGCGGTTTTAAAATCAACTTGAAATGGACATGGGCTGGGCGATAAATAATATATCGAGAAGACAATAAAATGTGTCAGAAATGATGATACGCTCTGGACATTTTTACTCAATATGGATTAATATAATGGTCTATCACACAGCAGAAATACAAGCGACAGCAGTCTGCACAACCCGATCTCATGGCAATTCGTACATATTTTACGAGGTGGCTAATTCATACGTTTTGTGAAATATCGTTCGTATTTTACGACGAGGCAAATTCATAGGAATCCGTACGAATGACCACCCCTAAACCTTCCCTCACAGAAAACATACGAATGAGGTCATATGAATTCATACAAATTTGCCACCTCGTAAAATACGTACAAATTGGTCACAAGATATTGTTGGTCTGCATGTTCTGTGTCTCTTTGTGTATGAATGGCATGGTTTTGTCTATTACACACAAACACATGACGCTCATAGTGTTTTCAACTTCTGCTTTTCAATATATGACGACATAAAAATATGAACTTTAATCTACAGAGCTGCTCTGAGAGTCATTTCATTAGAGAAAACTACTCTCAAATATAAATTGAAACTGAAAGTAAAACAAAGACCTTCACAACAACCGGTCAAAAGTGTGGTTTAACTTGAAGAAATTATGACTAAAATATATTACTATTGAATACTAAAGCATAATTCTCAAGATAAAAACTCGTGTGAAAACTAAATGTATTATTTTTAAGGAATGATAAAACTGTTAAAGTTTTATTAATTTATTTCATAAGACATTTGTTTCTGATAATTTTGTATCGAATCATAAAACACCGAATCCAGAAAAATTGAAAATGAAAAAAAAAAAATAATAATTTAGGGGAATATAAAATTTATTTCATGGGGCCCTAAATTAAAAGGTATCTTTTATCCCTGTGGAGATAATTGTGAACAAACAAAGTTGTTCAATGTCTAACAAAACATGTGGAAAATAGTTTCCTTACTAATTAACGGTAAATTAATATTGCAATAAATATCAATATAGTATGATACGTTAAAAAATAGTGATAATATTTTTGGCCATATCGCCCAGCCCTATGGACACTACTGACCGTCTTCTCACACTGTAAAAAATGACCGTGATTTTAATGGTAAAAAAACTGTGAAAATGCTACAGTAAAAACCTGTTAAATGGTTAACGGTAAGTTCCCCTACGATATACGGTGAAAAACTGTAACAGACATTTCAGACAATTTTATGGTAAAATACCGTTTTTGGAAGTGGAAAAAGAATGTATAATTTACAAGGAAAAAACGTAAATTGATGTTCCCAGAATTCCCTGCGTTGCATTTCAAATATGCTTTATGTTTATTAGGGTTGTATGTTACATCTAATGTTGATAAATTAATGTTTATTGCAGTGTTTATGTTTATATTTATTTCAGTTTCATGAGTGTGACACTGATGGCGTTTAGTGTTTGTGTGAATGACCTTATATATATTAGTATTGACCATCTCAGCTTGTGGAAAAGCTGCTTGTGGTGAGCTTTGGTTCATCAGGTGACTTTCTCATCACCACCTGATTTTGATGGTTATCAGTGTAGGCACAAAACAGATTTCAGAACTTCAATAGGTTGGTATATTAACATTACATCCGT